GTTATTATTATAAGTTAGTAGATTTCTTTTAGCAGAATAAAAAGTGTTTAAATATACGTTTATCTTATTTATAACTTTATTGTCACTTTGAAATGCAATCTAGTGTTATAGCAACTGAATAGTAAGTATCTACGGGTGTAGTGAGAAATCGATTTATATATTGTTATAGTTTAAAATAATGTACACATATGAAAATTCTAGTACAGCTGGCAACCCTGATGGCGAGTCTGATGAAACATTACAAATTAACAGTTAAAACTTAGCATAATCAATGATTGACGACTGAACGAACGAATCCATGCTGTTTATAGTTTGAAATAATATTTAATCAAATCATTTTGTATATTACTAGCTACTCGCCCCGGCTTTGCCCGGGTGTACATGTATTATATATATAAACCTTCCTCTTGAATCACTCTATCTATTAAAAAAACTGCTTCAAAATCCGTTGCGTACTGTTTATAAGTGACAAGTTGAAGTACGAACCACTGAGCCAAGCTGTTTTCCCCTTCTGATCGATCCTCCGTCCAATTCAAACGGGGATCAAAATTACGACGGCCTGAGGTTCGAACCCCTAGCGGTGCGGAGTAAAGTCGTATTCATCAGGCAGTTGGCCTTCAGCCGCTCCATAAGTCCTTCCTTTGGTTTGGAGTGCCATTTGCACTCGCACCCTATCGTTCGGTGAAGTTGTAAAGGCAACCTGCAGCCAACAGTATTACAGAAGTACGATTACCTATATTCCTAATTAAAACTGGAATCCAAATTTACTATTACGACGGCCCGAGTCCAGGTTCGAACCCCTAACGATGCCTTCAGACTAAAGTCGTATCCGTCAGGCAGGATCCTTAAGTTCTTCCCCGAGTTTGGAGTACCACGCGTACCTATCGTACGGTGAAGCTGTAAAGGCCAGCTGCGGTCAGCTGCGGTCAGCTGCGGCCAGCTGCGGTCAGCTGCGGCCAGCTGCGGCCAGCTGCGGCCAGCAGCGTCAGAATAGTCCAAATAAAATATTAATTATATCATTAATACGAGCGTTATAGTAATTTCAAAATGGGAATTTATTACAGCATCGTTATGAAACGTTCAGTTTTTCATTTAATGCCACACATTAGCTATAACATACAGCGTAATAAACATAAATATATAGCTCTGCATATGTCATAAAATAGATATATCTGCAACAACTCCGGAGATAAACGTGAAATTTAAATTTTATGTAAATTAGATATATTTGTTATGTTATAATATTTAATACATATATAAGTGTCTGTTTGTAATATTGAAATAACCGTTGTTTACTACATGCATATGAATATAAATACGGTACATACACCAATATAACATTTTTTATAATTTTTGTCTATTTGTCTGTTTGTTCCGACTAATCCCTGAATTGGCTAGATCGATTTTGACGGGACTTGTTTTGGCAGGTAGCTGATATAATAAGGAGAAACTTAGGCTACTTTTATTTTAGAAAAATGAAGTTAAATTCCACGCGGACGAAGTCGCGGGAACAGATAGTAATACATATATTCACAATGTATGGAATTAAAAGCATTGCAAATGTTAACATATTATTAGATTTAATATTATTGGAGCCTACACTCTATAGTCTATTTAACCAGATACACTAATATCAATTCAAAAGTCATGATGAATACATGGTTTTGATGAATAAATGATTTCAAAATCATTCATGTAATTTAATATAATATTTATAATTATTAATAATATTTATTTATATATAAATATTAATCTATAAAGTTACATACATATGTGACTTTATAGATTAAGATTTTGAGTTATATATATAACTCAAAGGTGACTGACGTAGTGATCTATCAACGCACAGCACAAACCACTGGATGGATCGGTCTGAAATTTAGCATGCAGGTAGATATTATGACGTAGGCATCCGCTAAGAAAGGATTTTGATTAATTCTACCCCCAAAGGGATAAAATAAGGGATGAAACTTTGTATGAAACTTTGTCAATTTTAAACCGATCGCGCTGAGACTTTGCATGCATAAAGCTACTATGACGTAGGCATTCCCTAAGAAAGGATTTTGATAAATTACGATTACGAGAGCGAAGCCGCGGACAAAAGCTAGTAATCTATAATTTGCCTATTGACTTGTTCTAAACGATACTTGAGGACAGCAACTTTGTCTTTAAATTTAATAGAGAATACAGACTAATATCAGTTTATAGAGACTGAAATTGAATGGCCTATAATTTTCTCTCATAATCACGTGTATTGATTGCTTCATCTAAGCTACAAACGCTGTTTGCCGACATCATTTAATTATCCGCACCAATCTCAAAGCTAACGGTGTAACGAGCTTCAAGATTCTGAAATTTCCGAGCTAAATCCTGCCCATGTTATCTTCGGATATAGCATAGATGTTACTAGTGTTTATATACACTAGAACTAGTATACACTTGGATTGCAAAGACCAAATTCAAATTCAAAAATCATTTATTCATATAGGACATTTTAGCCGCTTAAATTTTTTACATTATAATTTTAATTTTTTCCCTACCGTCCAGTTCAGTAAACAGATTGGGGAGAACTAGCAAGAAATACAACTGACGCTGAAAAGTCAATTTATTTAGATGTGTATTTTTATAGGTGTCTATGTCTAATATTAAATAAAAATCCGGTGCATAAACAACTATTGCCATGCACGTTTGTTATTTAACTAATCATTTACGAAGATTCACATTGATTCAAATTTAAATTCAAAAATCATCATGTAGGACATTTCAGCCGCTTATGAACGTCACATTTTATATTATATTATTAATATTTTAATTTTTTCTCTACCGTCCAGTTAGGTATATAGATCCAATTGAGAAGAACTAGCAAGAAACTCAATTGAAATACTTTTATTTTTTTTAAAGCCAGTTTATTTATAATGTATATTTGTATAGGTGTCTATGTCTAACATTAAATAGTTCGTGCTCGTTCTTTCTGTGATGAATCCCGTATGATTGGTATAGTAAAAAAAATATAAAAAAATGCTTAAATTACCTTTTTTTAATAAAGAGTATTTCTATTTCAATAAAAATTTACTTGGTCGTTTTTATAAAAATTATATTTGTATATTTAACACAGTCTTTTTGTGTTATTTAAAAACTTAACAAAATACGTAAATATACTATCGTTGTATCATGAAATGTGTATCAAATATTGAATATATTTGTTATAATTAGATAATTATAATCTAGGATTTTATCATCATCATTATCATCATCATCGCAGTCCGGAAGACGTCCATCTGGATCTCTTCAGCTGGATCTTAATAAACTTAAACTGACCTACCTGATTACCTCATGTAAGAAATTTAAATCTATTTGATTAAAATAAACATTGATCAAAATATCGCAAAACACAAAAGCATCCAAAGCTTCCTTTTTAGTCTCGGTAAATATAAAAAGATATCGTAACGTCTATAAAGCTCTACGTAAGTGGTTTCCGTCGTCTATGGCAGCGGAGAGCGGATGTCACAGCGAGCTGAGCGGAGCGGAAAGCCGGGCTCACGCAATTATCACGAGCAATTAAACGCAAGCAACTAAGCAGAAGGCACGGAAACTTAACTGTTCCACTGTTCTTTATTCGAATGGTTAGAACCATGCTTTTGTTGTTTCGTTTTACAATTTATATGACTACTAGCTTTTGCCCACGGCTTCGCTTGCGTTAATTTGTCCCCTTAAGGGTGGAATTTATCAAAATCCTTTCTATGGGGATGCCTACGTCATAGTAGCTTTATGCATGCAAAATCTCAGCCCGATCGGTTTAAAATTTACAGAGTATCATACAAGCTTTCATCCCCTATTTTATCCCCTTGGGGGTAGAATTGATCAAAATCCTTTCTTAGCGGAAGCCTACGTCATAACATTTACCTGCATGCCAAATTTCAGCCCGATCTGTCCAGTGGTTTGGGCTGTACGTTGATAGATCACTAAGTCAGTCATCTTTGAGTATATATATTTAGACTAGCTGTGGCCGTGATTTCACCCGTGTGAAATTTATAGGGTGGGATATCCCACCCTATAAATTTATATATAATATTATTATTATTTGCGTATATATCCCAGGTGTTATTTAATAATTATTTGTTATTGTCTCAAATATAGATAGTATACTAAGTTGTGGTCCACATTGACTCTGTTTTTTTAATGTATTTCTTATGTATTATAATAAATAATAATAATAAAGACATTTATTCAGCATTACAGTAATCTTAGATGCTATTTATCCTATATATTATACAACTTAAAAGCTAAAAGCTAGTAACGCTGAATGTGACTCCCACACAGCATTTATACTGCAGTATACATATACCACAGCGCTGATTTTCAGTGGGGCCACCACACACGAGAGAGCGTACGTAAATATTACTAAAGAAAATAAAACGTTAAAATTAAGACCATTTCATAAATAGGTATGAAAATGTATGTATTACTTGTATTTCTTTATGTATTTCTTTCGTTATTATATTCTGTATTCTAAATTTATAATGTTAGTCTGTAAAGTTATTTTTAATGAGTAATGAGGGCTGCCTGAAAATCAGCGCTGTATAGGTGCACCTCATTGAGGTTGTGCTTATACCGGCAAAGCTGAGGCAGTTCCTATTACCAACTTTGTATATATTTTTTCTTATTTGGTATTGTTTGTAATTTGTTTATGTTGGCAATAAAGGTTTATCTATCTAACTATCTAAGTTTGTACACATTGTCCTTCTGGTTTCTTTTAGGAAGATTGATAAATGTTTTATTTTTCAATTACATACATAGCAATACATGAGATTCAGAAATATACATTTGACAAATTAAAAAATAGAGGTGTTTTTATGTGACATCTTTGATGAAGAGGCACCTCAGTATAACGCAACAGATAAATATGCAGCGCTGATATTCTGTTGGCTCCTATAATTAAGTATATATTACACTATTAGTAAAATAGAAAGAACATTGTCAATATAAAGTAGGGTACTTACCGTTCTATTCCCGAGGTTTCGTACCCGGCAGCTCAGGTAAGCAGACTTGCCAACTAAAGCAGTCACATTTCTCGGCGTCGCCGCGTCAAAAGATGGCGCCAATCGAGCAGTACTACCGCCCGCTGGCAGAGCGTTTACAGACCCCGCCCCGCCCGCTACGTCGCATGCACCTGCAGACAAACATACAAATATATTTAGACACAAATTCAAAATAATTTTATTCATGTAGATCTACTTTACAAAAGAGGGCCTGTCGCTCCATTTATGGTATGGGTTCTAGGGAATCATTGCGAGAGTGTTTTAAGGAATCAAATATCCTCACCGTTGCTTCTCAATACATTTATGAAAATATATATGCCAGAAGGAATATAGACAGTTTCAAAAGAGTTAGTGATTGCACTAATAAAAGCTTACGTAATAATAACAAACTGATTTTACCTAAATGTCGTTTGGCTAAAGTTAGTAATTCGTTTTATGGCAATTGCGTAAGGTTTTACAATAAAATACCAGAGTCTGTTATAAATCTGCCAGAAAAAAGATTTAAATGTCAAATAAAACAGTTCCTTTGCAAAATAGCTTAATATAAAATTGAAGAATTCGTTAACGATAATAATGTTTTTATAGAAAAACTTTAAATCTATAGCACTGACAATATTATCTGATTACATTAATAATGAGTGCGTAGCGACTTCTATGTTGATTATCGCATGCCTCTTACTTGTTGTACTGTAATTATTTATATAAAAAAAACATCTATTAAAAAGAGCAACACACAAGTTTCTTGCCCGTTCTTCTTGTGATGAATCTGCATTCCGAATGAGTGGTAGAATCAAAATATGACTATTCAAAAGTGCTTGTAATGAGTTTATTTGAATAAAGATTATTTCTATTTCTATTTCTATTATAAACTCTTATGATATGTCAAATCTACCGTCCGTTCGGAATGATTTCGAGATGAGAAGAACTGACGAGATATGTATTACCACTTAATAATACGTCATGGCTATTTTTGGGGAGTATTAAGGATTTCTGAGATAATTTTTTCATAATCATCATCATCATCATCATTTCAGCCCGGAAGCCGTCCGTGACTATAAAAGAAATATAAACAAAATATTCAATCAGCAATAGCCGTAATATAACCTTAATCAGCAACATCATTAACATAATAACATCGGCCGTCAATTATTACACCTTTATACTCATTACTTACATCTATAGGAAACAAATATACTGAAATCAAAAATAATTTATTCATGTAGGTCATTTTAGCCGCTAATGAACGTCAAGTTTTTTTGTATTAATATTTTTTCCTACCGTCCAGTTCAGTATCTGTATACTGTATCTATATCTGTATACTCGATTGAAAAGAACGTGCAAGAACCTTAACTGATTCTGTTAGCCGCATTTATGTATCTCTGCAGATCCCTAAGGTTGACTGGGAGAGAATGCATTAATTCCACATTTTGTACCAAATTCACGTATCTCTGCAGATCCCTAAGGTTGACTGGGAGACAATGCATAAATTCCACATTTTGTACCAAATTCACGTATCTCTGCAGATCCCTAAGGTTGACTGGGAGACAATGCATTAATTCCACATTTTGTACCAAATTCACGTATCTCTGCAGATCCCTAAGGTTGACTGGGAGACAATGCATAAATTCCACATTTTGTACCAAATTCACGTATCTCTGCAGATCCCTAAGGTTGACTGGGAGACAATGCATAAATTCCACATTTTGTACCAAATTCACGTATCTCTGCAGATCCCTAAGGTTGACTGGGAGACAATGCATTAATTCCACATTTTGTACCAAATTCACGTATCTCTGCAGATCCCTAAGGTTGACTGGGAGACAATGCATAAATTCCACATTTTGTACCAAATTCACGTATCTCTGCAGATCCCTAAGGTTGACTGGGAGACAATGCATAAATTCCACATTTTGTACCAAATTCACGTATCTCTGCAGATCCCTAAGGTTGACTGGGAGACAATGCATAAATTCCACATTTTGTACCAAATTCACGTATCTCTGCAGATCCCTAAGGTTGACTGGGAGACAATGCATTAATTCCACATTTTGTACCAAATTCACGTATCTCTGCAGATCCCTAAGGTTGACTGGGAGACAATGCATAAATTCCACATTTTGTACCAAATTCACGTATCTCTGCAGATCCCTAAGGTTGACTGGGAGACAATGCATTAATTCCACATTTTGTACCAAATTCACGTATCTCTGCAGATCCCTAAGGTTGACTGGGAGACAATGCATAAATTCCACATTTTGTACCAAATTCACGTATCTCTGCAGATCCCTAAGGTTGACTGGGAGACAATGCATAAATTCCACATTTTGTACCAAATTCACGTATCTCTGCAGATCCCTAAGGTTGACTGGGAGACAATGCATTAATTCCACATTTTGTACCAAATTCACGTATCTCTGCAGATCCCTAAGGTTGACTGGGAGACAATGCATAAATTCCACATTTTGTACCAAATTCACGTATCTCTGCAGATCCCTAAGGTTGACTGGGAGACAATGCATTAATTCCACATTTTGTACCAAATTCACGTATCTCTGCAGATCCCTAAGGTTGACTGGGAGACAATGCATTAATTCCACATTTTGTACCAAATTCACGTATCTCTGCAGATCCCTAAGGTTGACTGGGAGACAATGCATAAATTCCACATTTTGTACCAAATTCACGTATCTCTGCAGATCCCTAAGGTTGACTGGGAGACAATGCATTAATTCCACATTTTGTACCAAATTCACGTATCTCTGCAGATCCCTAAGGTTGACTGGGAGACAATGCATAAATTCCACATTTTGTACCAAATTCACGTATCTCTGCAGATCCCTAAGGTTGACTGGGAGACAATGCATAAATTCCACATTTTGTACCAAATTCACGTATCTCTGCAGATCCCTAAGGTTGACTGGGAGACAATGCATTAATTCCACATTTTGTACCAAATTCACGTATCTCTGCAGATCCCTAAGGTTGACTGGGAGACAATGCATTAATTCCACATTTTGTACCAATTTTAGTGGTCAATAAAATAAATAAAAAAGAAACTGAATTTCTTTTTTTTAAAGATACTTTATTTACATTGTATAGGTATCTATGTTTAAATCTATCATAAGACCTGTCACTTTGTATGGATCTGAATGTTGAGCCGTAAAGGGGATGGACGAAAGGCGTGTGCATGTGGCAGAAATGCGAATGTTAAGATGGATGTGTGGGGTTACCAGGAATGACAGAATAAGGAATGAGTATATACGAGGAAGTTTGAAAGTTGCGCTGGTTATAGAAAAGTTACGAGGTAACAGATTGAGCTGGTATGGGCATGTTATTCGGAGAAGTGAGGACCATGTCTTATGGAAAGTGTATAATATGAATGTGGATGGATGTAAAGGGAGTGGACGCCCTAAGAAAAGATGGATGGATTGTGTGAAAGATGATATGAATAAAAGAAGAGTATGTTTAGATATCACGACTGATAGAGAGCAGTGAAAGAGAATGACATACTGCGCCGACCCCAAATAATGGGATAAAAGCAAGGCAATGAATGATGAGGTGTGTATGTTTAACATTAAATCCCTTGAAAATGTGTATGTACTATTGCCATGCACATTTGTCGTTTAAGTAATCGGTTAGTGAGTAATAGTCTTTACTCAACAAATATGATATAACTGATGTTTTAAATTTATTTAAAGGTAATTTCAGTACATCCTCAGTTATATTATTATAATTTTTTATACCCATTCCCATAAAAGGTCCATTGACTATCTAAGCAATACTTAGGAACCGCAAATTTGTCTTAAAATCTAGTATTAATGTTATGAAATATTAAGTAGCGACACCTCATCACATCTATACTAATATTATAAAGTTTGTTTGTTTGAACGTGCTAATCTCAGGAACTACTGGCTCGAATTGAAAAATTAGTTTTGTGTTGGATAGTCCATTTGTCGAGGAAGACTTTAAGCTATAAAACATTACGCTACGACCAATAGAAGGGAAGCATCATTGAAAAATGTCGCAAAAACGGGGAAAAACATTCATATTTGAGGGCTCCCGTTGCGTGCGTGTAAACGGTTTAAGTTACTTACAAAATGTATGAAACAATTATTCCTCCGTAAATAATCTAAAAAATGTCCGCGACTAATTGCGATAGTGTTTTTGATAATGAACGAAGTCGCGGGTACAGCTAGTTATGTAAGATCGGATTTATTGATACCGGATGAATCATCGTGACGATTGTATGATCCACTAATAATGACGACGACTGAGACTTTGAAGCCGGCTACCGCGCCCGTGACTTGTGATACGGGTGTAGGTTTAAAAGGCCTCTTTAGAATGCATTAACACTCACCTTCACTACTTGCAGCTTCCCCCCAGGCCCAACTAAGACCGGGATAAACCCATTTCGAATACAATTCACTTTAGTATCCAAAACACAACCGGCACGCTCTGCGCTCGTCGACTGAATGCCGCGGCTCACCCAACGAAAGAGGATTATTTAACTACCGACCTCCGTATTTATAGAATTAAGTCAGTGTAGTAGTTCGGTCTATAAATACTAGATGGCGCTATTCACAATATTTGTAATAGTCTATACATTGGGTACTTCATTAGTACTAAACACAAACTACCATCTTTTTAAAATATTGGATTTTTTCTACAATAATGATGTGAACTCTAACAGTAATATATAGCACAGTGGTGAGGTGATTCCCACCGCTGTATAACATCAAGAAAAAATCCTTTATCTTGCACAATCATTGCTTCAACACAATACAAATTGAAACAATGAAGTCGAATCTATTCGAAGTGCTAAACACAAGTGTATAATATATATGTTCACCTATCTATCTTTAAATGACTATTGTCCTGTAAATCAGGTCAGACAGGATTCATACATTATTCATGCCTCTACTACAGAAATAGACAGTATGTATAAATAAATCAACCGGGAACTGAACAAAGTCACCGTATAAACTGCTATAAACTTTGACTTGAGTATTTATATACTTTAATCAAATTACAAACTAAATAAAATATGATTTCAGATATATAACGATGAATAACTTAAATAATTGATTACTCCACAAATTTTCTACTACTTAAACGAATTTTTAAGTATTTAATAATGTGTCGGATCATGCGTCATACTCGTGAACAAGTGTTGCTTGTACTGGTCTGGTCAGGTTACGAACACTGATTAGAGTTTTTGTTTTTGCAACAGCATATGTTGGTGTATATACTAGAATATATAGTGTATATTCTCCCAATTTTGAATTTAATTTAATCTATATTATTGTAAACATGTACAACATTTGTTTGAAAAGAATACGAGCTGAGTTTCTTGTCAGTTCTTCTCATCTCAAAATCATTCTGAACTGACGGTAGATTTGACATATCATAAGAGTCTGTAATAGACTTACATGAATTTGAAATTGAATTTCTTTACAACTGATCTGACGGAATATGGTTTTAATAACGATTTTTTTTATTTAAGTCTGAATCAAATATATTTCACAATGGCAACTCATATGTATTTATTGCAAAATAATTTATTTGATTTGATAGTAAAGGAGGATTTATTTTAATGGGAGATGGCATGGTGCAACCGGTGAAGTCACCGACCAGTGGAGGACATGACCACGTCACTAAAAACGAAGATTCTCATGGCAACGGGTAATAAATAGCATCTAAACTGACAAATATAAATAAACTCGTTGTTTTTGTTTACATGATTGTGTAATTACTTCTTCCAAACCACAATTGATATTAGAACATTCACTACCATTTTTGGAGTTTTTTCTAGACTGTTTATTTATAGATTAACACTAGCTGTGCCCGTCGTTTTACTTGTGTGAAATTTATAGACTACGTGTAATTGTAATAAGTGATATTGTTAAAAACTTTAATTAAAATCCATTCCGTAGATTTGTGTGAAAGAGTAACAAACTTCCATCTATCCATCGACGGCCTCGGTGGTCTAGCGGTTTAGCACACCGTCT